TGATTTCCTCGCAAAAGTGTAATACGATCAGGCCATTTAGCCTTTAGTGCAAGAAGGTAAGTGAAGGTCTCCAAACTATAGTAACCTCTGTCTACAAAATCACCCATAAATATGTAGTTTGTGTCAGGAACCTGACCTCCAGTTCTGAATAGTTCACAAAGGTCATAAAACTGTCCGTGTATGTCTCCACACACTGTTACTGGTGTCGATACTGGCTGGACATTTGACTCTTCTAAGAGGAGGTCACAAACATAGTCACATAGCCGCTTCAGGTCGTTCTCCGGTAGGTACTTGCACAGCCGCGCAATCTCCACATACTTGTCCAAGTCTAGGGGCGCCATTTTAGAAATAACAAGCCCCGACGGCTTCGGCGGCGGCTCTAGTAGCGGCGGCGGCAGCGGCGGAGACCGAAGCCTTCTCAATGGCTTTTTGTAATTTCAGTAGTTCTCCAAAGTCCTTTTTCACGGTCTTCATAAAAGCCTTAAAATCTTTCCTTTTTTTTTTTTTGCCAGATTTGCAATCAATTTGCATTATGTTTTCATTGAAATGTTGGATAATGATGTAAGGGGATTGGAATGCAAACTGGTATTAGATGGGGAGGAATGTTTGTGTGGGTACTAATATTAAAGTAGTTTGTTAATAAGTGAATATTTTCCTGTTAGGACAATTTTTGCTTCTCTACTCAACCTTGTAACTCTGAGGACTCACATAAGGAATGCCTGTAAAATAAGAACAATTCCTATCTTCTAACATACAAGTAACCACCTCACTAATTCTAGTACCCTGTTTACTTGGGGAAACAGTTTTAACTTCTTTTTTATTTTTATTATTTATTTATTTTTAACTTCCTTTTTAAATATAATTACTTTCCCCAAGGCAAACAAGCTTGGTGGGTTTTCTGTTTTGTTGCTTATTACAGAGATTAAGGATAACCTATATTCTTTTTTTTTTTTTAAAGATTTTATTTATTTGACAGAGAGAGACACAGCGAGAGAGGGAACACAAGCAGGGAGAGCGGGAGAGGGAGAAGCAGGCTTCCTGCGGAGCAGGGAGCCTGATGCAGGGCTCGATCTCAGGACCCAGGACCCGTGAGCCGAAGGCAGACGCTTAACAACTGAGCCACCCAGGCGCCCCAAGGATAACCTATATTCTTTATATGAAAGCACAAATTCTGGGAGAAGTGACACCTAATTCTAAGATCGGGATCCCCAGCCCACCACAGCTCAGGTAGCAAGAGCACCTTATTCTCTTCTGTTACTCAATTACTGAATTATTCTGTAAATAAAGTTTTATGGAAATAAAGCCACACCCATTTGTTTATAATGTATTATATCTGGATGCTTTCACACTACAATGACAAAGTTCAACAGTTGTCATTAGAGATCATATGACCCATAAGCCTAAAATATTTACTATCTGGCCCTTTAAGAAAACATTTGTTGATCCCTGGTCTATAATATGGAAAATTTCCTGTTTCATCTTCTAACCCTTTTACTGAAACAAGTATTTTTTGATGACCAATTATGTATTTAGTTCTAAGATAGGTGCCAAGTGAACTAATATTAGGAATGGTTTCTGCTGCCAAGAAGATCTAATTGAAGAAGCATCACTAAGGTATATAATTAAGTTACAGTGCGCAAGATAAACCGGAAAAGTAAAAACATCAAGAGTGACCAGCTAGAGGGTGGCTAAAATAATTGAAGATATGGGATTACAGTATATGATGATTACACAAGAGAAGATACATCTTTAAAAATGAATGATTAGAACTTAGGGAAAAACTTTACAAAAAAAGAATATGCAAAAATTCATGATATATAGAGAGATGGAATACAATGTTACAGTCAAAAAAATAAGGAAGGTAAAAGGTAGTTTTGAATGTCTTGTACATAAAGTAATGATTAGTTCTTAACGGTTATTTAACTCAAAGTTGTACTTTTAGAAATTTAGATAAAGATTTCAAATTGATCTAAATAGAAAATTTGTAGTTGTATTTCTATTTTCTTTACCATAAAATGGCCAAGGGATTATCTGTTAAACAAATGAAGATAAGACTTTCGCAGAAACAATGTCGTAAGGAAAAAAATCAGAACAACTCCATAATTTGGCACCAGTTAAGTATTTAATACCATCAGAGAAGATGACAAGGCTTTTCTGATCAGTAATTGAAGAAAAGTCTACCACTAATAATAACTGACGTGCATTTCTGATCTATATTATAAGCATTTTAGCACAAAAATAAAGAAATACACTCGATTTTTTTTAGTTCTAACAATGCTGGATTACTTACATCAATATTGACAGGTTCTATTGTGTTTATATGCACATTTGGAGCTGATGAGGACCGGTCTCGTTGTCCAAATTGATTTCGATGATCTTCATCTGCTGGTCGGAAAGGCTGTGGAATTGGAATGGATTTTGAAGGAGACGGACTGGTGAGAATTTGGGGCCTGGAAAAATCAAGTCATTGAAAGATAAGATTCAGAGCAACTTTATAGACATAATAACATAAAAAAATGGATGATATAAAGATTTCCTTGTAAAGCATTAAAAACCCAGCAGTAATTGTTTAAAAAACTAACACATGCCTACAGCCAATACCGACAAAGCTGCTTTTGCTCAAGCAGACCCTCCAGGGACTATCAATGGTAAATGACTCTTATCCAAAAAACTCCAGGGAAATCTACAAATGGCTAGAAATTACCTGTGGTTAGTCAGCTGAAGAAACTCCCTAAAGTTACACAAAAATCTCTAGATACTAGAGACTGACTGAATAATATCTGCTATTTTTTTCTACCTTTGTCATTTCTTGATAGCCAAAGTTACTAAAATGAGATTTTTATGGAAAGTATTAGGAAATTATGAATATTTTGGAAAATACACCTGTGGATTTCAGGGCCTGAAAGATATATCTGTTGCTTTACATAGCATTGAATTAAAATCTTGAATAATAGCGAAAGACCATTTGCAAATCCAAAAGATGACCCCTTATAGTGTTCTCTCATATTTTAAATTTTTTATCATGTCCAATAATTGAGCAACAAAAGGGAATCATATGTTAAGCATTAAAGCAAATCTTTTTAAAAACTGCTTTTTTATGAGATCATCAAAATAGGTGACAGAATGATTTTCATACTGTAGATCTCTCACTGCCCTGAAATGAACCTGGCACTCACAGAGCACACTAAAGTTTTGCGAATAGATTGTAAACATCAGTGAGGAGTTTAGGTCCCTCAGAAAGGATATCCAAGGGAACTGGGAAGGGAGTATCATATGATAGAGGAGGTATGGTTGTCTCAGTGAGCTCCACCAAGACCAAAGAATGACACAGTGCTAACAGCCTCTCTACAGAGACTGATTATCATTCCACCCCATTTTATGCAAACTCTGTAATAATCTGCATTATTTAGTAGTTATTAAGACATAGCCAGAAAGACAATGTGGAGGAATACAAAGACATTTTGTGAGGGGACAGGGTTTAGAAAGGAATGGGAAGAAAATATAGTACAAAAGGAGTAGACAGGGGTTTGAAGGGCCAAAGAAGCCAAATAGTGACAAAAAGTTTGTTTTTGTTTTTTTTTTTAAAGGTTCTGAATAAAGCATGTTAAAATCTGAACCACACCAGTTTATAGTTTGACCCTCTGAAGCATGCTCTTAAGGGTAGGGAAAGACATTTTGAGCTTATCTGTTCATATTAATGGAGTCCACTTAGAACTGAAATAAAAATAATAAAATATTATGTACTTTAAAAAATAAGTATCACCCAAGGAGAATTACAGGCTAAAACTGATGGATCTGGCCTTTAGAAAAATTACCATGCTCCACTTGTCCTTTTTATTCTATTAATAATTGAGAAATTTTTAGTTTGTGACAGAGCTATCTTTACTTTTGCCTTTGGCAGCCAATATATGCCTTTTGCTAAGGGATTTGGGGAACAGGTAAAAGAATGTAAAAATGACAAAACTGGTTTTTTAAAAAAGTTTTGGAAAATGCACCTACTTTTAAAAAACCATAGGCTGATTTAAAGTCTCAAGTCAATAGCATAATTTAAGTTAGGACTTAAAAGTGGAAAGAGCCTGAATTAACTACAGTTGTGTAGGGAGTCTAATCAATATAATTGGTCTGGTGTAGGCATAAGTGACAGCAAGTCATTTCTGAAAGTTACTGAATTAACACCATGACTGCAACGTGTAGTTTATAACAAGGCAGAACATGTATTCAAGGGGCATTGGTCCAGAAGTAGGAAAAACAAAAACCTGGATTTAATATGATAGACTTTATTACCTAAAGAATGGATATATAAGAAAGTGAAGATATCCTGTGTATTACACAAAATCAGAAAGACTGTATTTGGCAGTTGGTATCTAACACCACCCAGCAGAAGGCATACGTTGGTCCATAAAGTCAATTTACCTAGCCTTGACAGCAAGTTTATAACTTTGGAGAAAACTTCAAGTAATTATGTCCTGGTATCATTAAACTTCTCAGTCATGTCCTAATCCCATGTTTAACAAAAGCAATCTTTGGATTATAATTTGGTTTCTCATAAATATCTTCTAAGATTTTTTTTTTTTTTCTCATAAGTATCTTCTAAAAGTGGACTGAGTACTGGTCCATCCAACACAAGAACTTTGGTCTATACAATAGCTATATTTCTCAGGGAAGTGAATTCACCTGGAATTCTGATTCAGTCTTTTCTAATTCTGGTCACTGTACACCAGTATATCTGTAATAACTCTCATCATTTCTGGGGACTAATAAAATTCAGTTTCTATACTGGGATGTTTTTACCTGGACCAAGGTGATTTATACCCTGTGAAGTATGCTGGGAGTCAGCAAACTGGCTTCTCCTGATACCTCTACCTATCTTGCTGCAAACCTCTTTAAAGCAGTATTAGATTAAAAAGAAAAAGAATTTCACCTCTAACACCCTTCAGCAAATTACATTAGTTTAGATCTCATTTTCAATCTAGAACATTAAAAGTTTTTTAAGAATATTAAAAGTTCTGAAGCAAAGTGACTACTCCTGTTCAGCAATATGCAAATTTTAAAATGCTGACTTTTCAGACATTCATACATCCCATAGCATTTTTAAAAAGCAGAAAAGGAAGTACAAACTGGCCAATGTTATCACTTTTCCAGTATGTCTTGGTTACATCCATTATTATAAGCGTTTCATGAGCACTACAGTGCTAATATAAGAACTGTTAACAAAACGCAAAGGAAGAGCAGTACAGAACAGGACTGGCTTCTATGTTTTCACAGGCACATATAGACGCTTGTGACCTAAAATCATCAGGAAAGCAAAAGTTTGAACACCTTTCTTATCATTTGCTCAAGACCAGAATGTACTTCAGTTTAGTTATAAATAAAATACTCATGGCATAGGCAAATGGTTTCTCAAGTTTTGTGGTTGTTTCTCAGTTTTAAGACAGCACCCTTTCAGTGGAAGGTAACTGCCATTATGAACCTTCAGAAAGACCATGCTAATTTCATTGTGGTGTTCTGTAACTCTGCTCAGAGAACTGGGACCTGCCATTAGAAAGGCATGATGGTCTACAGAACCTGCCAGGAGTAAATGCCATAACCAAAAGATTAATTAAAAATCAAAACAAACAATAACAACACTTTGCTCTAAGAAAGACCCAGGTACATAAAACTAACAATAGAGATAACAGGAATAACAGGACTCCACCAGAGCAGGTAACTGTTATAACCTGGCAAAAAAAAAAAAAATTAATGGTTGCATTTTCTAGTGTTCCAAAGTAGATAAAAACATCCAGTCCTTAATATAAGTCTTCTGCTAAATTTTCTAGCCTATGAGACCTTTAGAAAGGTTGGCTTTAATTTATTAGGTTTGGCATAATTTATTCTGCCTCAAATCCAAAAGGGAAAGAGTACACAGATCTGTGTAAGAAATTCTCCAAAACACTAATATCTGTTACTCATCATTTTTTTTTCCCATTATGAAGCTTGAGTATATGATGCATTTATATCATCTTTAAAGTCAGTTTCACCTTTATCCTCGAAAACTAGTAATACTATTAATATTTTTCTTTACACTTTATACTCCATCCCTTCTCCACAATGCTACCACCCCAGTTCAAGTCTTTATTGCCTCTGTCTTCATTATGAACAGCATCTGAGTTGGCCTTCTTCAACCACAACATTTGTCCGTTGATCTGTGTATCACTGCTAAGTGCTTCTTTCTTTAAATTTTCACCAGGTTAGTCCTCTGTTGAAAAACCTTTACTTTTTCCCCTTTTCCGTTAAGTCTAAATTCCAGCTTGAATTCCAACACTCTTTATAATCTGGTCTTATATGTGACACTTCTCAATTTAGATTAGCCTGTGTTCACTCTCTCTCAAATCTACCACCCCATTCCCTTTATTTATGCTATTTCTCCCCTACCAACCCACCACACCATGCTTTTTATCCCCTGGATTCATTCAGATTCTAGAATTCTTGAAGGTCCAGTTTAAATATCATTTCTTCATTAAATGTTTTTGACTACTATCACTATTCTCCTGTCTATGGTAAATATGATCATATTTATGTCCTTGCATCATTTAAAATATCATATCGTCTGAGAAACCGTAGAGTATAATTACATACTATTTTTAAATTGTTTGCCATTGTCTCATTGGTCAATGCTACTTTTCTTTTTTTTTTTTTTTAAAGATTTTATTTATTTATTTGAGAGAGAGAATGAGAGACAGAGAGCACGAGAGGGAAGAGGGTCAGAGGGAGTAGCAGACCCCCCGCCGAGCAGGGAGCCCGATGTGGGACTCGATCCCGGGACTCCAGGATCATGACCTGAGCCGAAGGCAGTCGCTTAACCAACTGAGCCACCCAGGCGCCCCATCAATGCTACTTTTCTAAATGGGAATCATACATTTCTATATTTGAATATTACCTAATAAAGTGATGAGCACAAGGCAGGGACTCTAAATGATCTGTTACTTGATTTTTTTCAAGACTGGTCCTGAAACAGTCTATGTCAGTTTTAATCCCACGTATCTTACCAAATGCATGTATGAATTTGCCTTATGTGATAAAATAAGTTACCTGAAGAAAAATCCTTAATTTAACAATCCAAGTAGTTGGAAAGGTTTATAATTAACCAAAAGATCCAAAAGAAACCAGCTCAAATAGCACTGCCATTGAACAGCAGGAGTCAAATCATACCCAGCAGAATCGGAGGGGGGAGCGGAAGGGGATGATCCAGACGTAAGGGCAGTCTCTGCTATGGAGGCCTCCTCCTGTGGTATTGGGTGGTGTTCAAAGAACTTGGAGACAAACAGCAAACTGTGAGGCAAAAACAAAAACAAAACAAAGCAAACCTAACTTGTGCAAACCCCAGAAGCTTCATATACCAGAATACATTACAGAGTTAACAGAAATATGAGATCAAATTCCACTTTCAGAAATGGTTGTTAAATTCAATTAGTTGTATTTTTGCCTAAAAGCTTATTTTAAAAAAATTGCATTGTACTTTGAAAGGCAAGCTTATAATCTAAAACTAATTGCTCTATACAGCAAATTTCTACATATTAGAGGGGAAAAATCATGCTTTATGGTTAAAGAATTAGAAGAAAATGTAGCTACTGTCTCAGTTAGATTCCATCATTATAATACACTTTATAGATTGGATTCTCTTTGCTCAAGTGATTGAGAAAAGTAAAAAGACCTTAACAGCAGGAGCAGCAGCAACAACAAGAGAGACTACAATAGACTCAGTCTAATCTATTACAGAAACTCTGGCATAAAGCAAATAGAAATTTTAGAAAGAGAAACACCGGGTATAAAGATTTTATATCTTACTTTTAAATATACTGGGCAGGGGAGGTTGAAGGAGAGAGAAAGAGACAGAGAGAGAAAGAGAGAGAGAATATATATAATTTACAAAATAGTGACAGACCAGAACCCCTGATCTGTGATCCAAAAATTAATGGTTAACTTAATTGAAATCACACCCACTCTCCTCCCAAAAACCATCTAAAAATGATGTCTATGGGCAAGGGATCTTTTACTAACTAAGAGAGGATATAAGACATAGATGGAATGCACAGCTGAGTCAGAATGACCATTTGGGAGAGCAGTACTGCCTATACTACACAGTATTCTCTAGCCAGCCTTTCCTAAGTTCCCGTAACTCTACTGGACAGAAAATTCCCAGACTCTAAGATACACTAGTTTCACATTAGGAAAAATAAAATGTAGATAGAAAAGAGATTTTTTTGATTACTTACTCAAGTTGGTCATAATTAACACACATCAGTGGAACCTCTGTACTACAACGCTGGTGAAATTTATAACCACATGTTTGACAGCGAAAACCCTGGAAAAGCAGCTTTCGACAAAAGTCACAAAATGCTAAGGTGAAAAAGGTTTTCCGTACCTGCAAAGTAAAAAACATCATAGAGAATTTCAAAAACTTGCAAGAATCTTCTTAGATATCAACTTATTTACTCTCTTGCTTAAAATAACAAATCTTTAATATGTTCATATCCTGAGAACCGTCTTACACACGAAGATACTAAAATGGAAACCCGGGGGGTTCAAGACAATAGATGGACTATATGTATTTATCTCCCACCCAATATACAATAAAAAAACTCAGAAGTCAAGAAGATGGAAAGTGAGTAAAAGACTGGAAACTATTTTCAAGCTTGACTCCATGAAAGTAAAAATAGAGATGATAAGTAGAAGGAGGGAACAGGGGTGAAAGGAAGGGTAAGGGCACACTTTGGTAACTGTACAAAGAAAGGAGTTAAGAGATGCTTACTGGTGTTGACAGAACAAGAAACTATGGTATATTTATATTACTTAAAGTTACAAAGGTATCCAATAGAGGAACCTGCCCCCAAAACAAACCAACCAACAAAAAATCCAAAAAAATCACACTGAAGGAGGGGAAGAAGGAAGAAAGGTTGTAATGCTACAAATGAGCTAATTCCCTTTGGAATCAGTAAATAGTGGCCGAAGCTGATAAAGCAAGGAACTACGGCTTAAAGTTACTATTTAGTAATGGGGAGATAATCACCCAAAGAGCTTTAAAACAGAAATTAACTAGGCTAAGGGACAGGAAAATTACCTAAAAGACAGTAAGAACCACTTCTAACCAATTATCAGTTTGTTAGAGGATTAGAACACCTAAATTTGTGAACATTCCTCTCCAGGAAACTAAAAAGGCAACATGGAAGAACTCCATGTCAGAAGGCAAATGATCTACACAGAGGTCACATAAAAAGAATTACATTAGGGAGGCTCTACCTTGATAACTACTGAAGCCAGAAATTATTTTTAGAGTATCTGTTTTGGGTACAGAATGAGCAGAAAACATAAGAGAAATACCAAAATGTTAACAGTGGCTATTTCAGAGTGGTGAGAGCATGGCTGACTCTATTTCGTCCTTTGTCTTTGCTGTGTGTATTCTCAATTCACCTGTTTCTCAGATAGTTTTCATCACTAACAATAGTAAGAACTACATTTTACATTATGACCCAGGACATACCTATATTCAGATAATAGTATTTACCCTGACTATATATAATGTACATCAGGACTTTCTACTATATGGAAATGTCTTTCATGATCCATTAAATTGATTTCAATACCCACAGTTTACCAAACTTTTTCCAATAAACATGCATTTAACAGGATACAGTTATTTAAAAATAATGTCTCATCAAAATGATATCTTAGCACATCAGGCATTCTAGGCTTTTTGAGAACATTCAGGTAATTTTAAGGAGTGGCTCTTGTTTTCTTCACCTTTTTGTCTTATGTATCACTTTCTAGGGGATATAAAAGGCAACTGCTCGTTTTTAGCTTTGTTACTTTTCAGTTTGTCTCTGGATATACAAGAAATTAGAAAACCTTTAACATTTATGTGGCGAATATTTGCCAAAGCAAGCGTTTTTCATATTTCTTGCAGGATTTCAGAAAATAGAGCACAGAAATATACAAAACATGTTCACAGGAATCAGCATTTTATAGTCATCTGATCCTCTCCTATCCTCTCCATTTCTCACTCACCTAATAATCCGCTGAATTTCACGAAGTTCTAATTTCCCTTTTCATTAATCTACTCGCTTACAGTCTTTCTTCCTGCTACTGACTTCTATTTGAAAACTATGTGTACCAGGCTGTTTGTGTATGTAAAGGAGAAAACCAAACATGGCAGTAGGGGAGGACAGAGGAAAGCACAGAGGAGTGGAAATCAGAAGAAGCAAATGTGGGAATGCATTTGAGTATAAATGGTGACATATAATTGGATCTGGGAGTATACCTTTGTCAATAAAAGTGAGTACAGGAAGGTACATTTTCTTGTTTTTCTACCTCTCCTGCCGCCTCCACCCTGCCAGTTCCCAGGGACTCCTGGAATGTAGGCAAATACCAAAGAACTGCTTTTATAACGGACTAAGAAACTGGGAGGCATAAGCAGCATTGCTTGAGTTGCCAGCAAAACCGAGCACAGAGAAGCAGAGAGAAATTCTCTACCTTTCTCAAGTAGAACGTGTGCTTTTACTCTTGCCTCTACATGGCACTCAGAGCAATTGTTCTGAAACACAAATCCAATCATGTCTCCCCTGCTCACAATCAATTTCCAATTATTTTAAAGAGAAGTGTAAATCTTTAACATGCCTTACAAGGACTCCTAGGAGCAGGATTCTTCTTACTCTACCCATAACTCTTGCTATACTGTAACAACCCCTCTCCAACTTTATACCATTCCCCCTGAACTTCTCTCAAAACTGAAAAATTCCAAGCTCTCTCCCTGTTTCCTCTGTTGAGAGTACTCTTCCCTTCACTCCATCTGCTATTCCCTCATCCATCAGGCCTTAGCTTAGAGAGTTCTTCTTTTGGGAAACCCTCCTGACTCCTCAAAGGCTAGGTTAGGAGTCTCTACTCTGTGCATCTACTGTACTTTATACATACACAGTAATTAAGAGCGTTTATAAAATTCTCTTATCAAAACATCTGTCTCTCTACTCTAAGGCAGGGATATTGTTTTTTCTTATTCATTGTTATAGTCCCAGATCGGACACAGTGTTGGCAAATGGGAAGTTCTTAATAGATATTTACTGGCAGGTCTCCAATTGTGTTGTGAGGATTTCCATACTCTGGAACTAGGCTGCAGCTTGTTTCCATTACCCTCTTGTGACAACGATCTTCCTGAGGCACCACTTTAACACCATTTTATGGATAACAATTTAGGTCTTCTTACCTCCTAACTACTTTCTAGCCAAGAAAAATAATTAGGAAAAAGAGTAGTAATCTTCATGAACTGTAACCTCTACTGTTTTTGGATTCCTAAAAACTTAAAATTATCTTCAGATTTTTCCACTTGAAATTCTATAAATTAAAAAAAAATCAATAGTAATGAACTTGCTAGGTCTTCATTACAAAACTATTTGCTACATAGAAATCTGATTGACAACACTCATTGAAAAGATGCCTTATTGAAGCACAAATTATTCACCATTATTCACCACTAATGGAGCCCTGAAAGCACAAATCCCCAAGGAAATCAGCTCATTATTCGTCTGCTTTAGGAGTTCAGCTGTATTGATCATCAAAGCACATGGGAAAGCACTTGACGCCGAAAGGGTAGCAGTAACTAACTATCCATCTAGAAAATATAAACTATGGTCAAAATTCCATATATAATAGAAAGTAAGAAATGCATTCCTGCCTTATAGATCATTCTACTCCTGGCTTCTGCCTTACCCTTTTAGAGGGTAGGTTCTCAAGCTCTGGGCACTATATCCTCATCTCTAAGGTGGAGATGCCCCACGTTCCAGGTATCATGCTGGTGACACTTAGCTTAGGCTAGGTTCCAGCAAATGCAAAAACCAGATGAAGGGAGAGGTCCTCAAGGAGAGCTATTCCACTTCCACTAACTCATCCTTCAGAAACATTAACGCAAGTATATCAAGATGTATGCAAAAAGATTGTTTAGCCCTGTACAAAACAGATTAAAAAACTTAAATGTCTATTAATAGAGGATGGTTAAGTATAAATATACTGAATTTATATTCTTATAGACTATTATGCAATCACTATAAACATAACACTAGGTGTACTGACGTGGAAAGACATCCATGATGCACTGTTTAATTTTTTTTTTTTTTTTTTTTAAGGATGAAGACTATCACACAGAACAGGACTCCATTTTTAGTTTTAGGAAAGAAATGGAAATTAACGGAAGGGAAGGGAAAAGAAAAAGAATGGAGAGAACTTTGGGCTCCCAAGGTATAATAAGCACACGGTTGTATAAGCAGAAAGAGTTTGGAAGACCATACAATAATTAGTAAGTGTTTACCCTACTAGGTATTTTCCTTTTCTCACATGATATACTTTTGTACCATTCAGATTTTCTTTTCAGTTCCTTTTAATGAAAGACATTTATTGCTTTTTCAAATTAAAAAGAAAATAAAACTCTTTAGTTTAAATACAAATTTCTTAAAGAACAGAACTGATTTTCAACTTAGGTAAAATATCAATCCCAAAATTATGCATCTATATTTCATATTCCCTAAATAAAAATTCATGTGCAAGAACCTGAATGCTTTTGACGTTTGGAAAAAATGTAAAAGTACATACAAAGTTGTGTGTGGTAAGCGGAACATTTTCCAACACTTCTACATGCAGTTCCTCTCCGGTGAGCCAGGAAATATCAGTGTCCCAGCCAATCGGTTTCTTCTCTCTGAAAAGTGTAGACACAGCCTTTCTTGGTTATCATACCTAAAAATCTTTATACCTCATGCTGAAGATATGAAAATTGGTTATTGAGGGGCTAGTAATGGTGAGGGAGGTTTGGCTCCCTGGTTTTCCATCGTTAGAAATTTAAATGGCAATAAATTAATTTTTAAGTTTACCCCAAATAAATGTATCACTCTTGGACAAACAGCAGGGTAAAGAGATGTACTCTTTTCTTCAAGCCAGCTCCAGAAAAGACCTACAACAGCAGAAAATTGATTGTTCCTAGGGTCCCCCCCTCAAAACAAACAAACAAAAAAAAAAACTAACCAGGTACGGATTTATCTATCCATTAAAAAAAAAAAAAAAAAAGCACTCAAGGGACAACATGCCCCACAAAGGGTATTTTTTTTTAAAAACAGGATTCAAAATTTGGGGGGGTTCTTGGCACAATTTTTGATACTTTTCTGAAAGAAAAATAGTTTAATATAAAATGTTAATTTTGATAAGCCTTTTGTGAAACTATGAGTTTATATTAAAAATAGGGGAATAGGGAAGAGTCCATTGTTCAAATAAGCCACATTTTAAATGGTTCACAAAAATTATAAGAATCTCAAACTCCAAATAAAATCATTTGATCAGAGTAACAAACACTATCATCACACAAAGTATCTAATGTTAACTCCTCAAAAGGCCTGCAAGTTTTCTTTAGGCTAACTTAATATTTTTTTCTAAAGTTAAATTTCAACACCCTGGGTTTGGGTAAAGCTGCTACAGAAAACCCAAAAGTTTTATGTCTGAGGGATTTTTTTCCTTTTTAAACAAAATTTCACATCACATACAAACCATACCCATCCTGAATTCTGTAAACAGCACAGCACTCTGGGATTAGACCTCTCATCATCAGAGCTTTCTTTAGACTGTCTCGGACTGTAACTCCACATCTCGCAGGTACCTATAATATCACAGATATATGATATGAGGTAAAGGGAATAAATTATATATTTTTTCTACATCATTTTAAAAAGCTCAATACTTTACCTTTATAATACCTTTAAAATGTCATATGGATTAGTATGTCAGATACAACATCATTTGTAAAGCTAAGTTGCTATTTTTTTTTTTTCTTTAAAGATTTTATTTATTTATTTGACAGAGAGAGACACAGCGAGAGAGGGAACACAAGTAGGGGGAATGAGAGAGGGAGAAGCAGGCTTCCCACGGAGCAGGGAGCCCGATGCGGGGCTCGATCCCAGGACCCTGGGATCATGACCTGAGCCGAAGGCAGACGCTTAACCGACTGAGCCACCCAGGCGCCCCTATTTTTTTTTTTTTTAAAGATTTTTATTTATTTATTTATTTGACAGAGAGAGACACAGCGAGAGAAGGAACACAAGCAGGGGGAACAAGAGAGGGAGAAGCAGGCTTCCCACGGAGCAGGGAGCCCGATGCGGGACTCGATCCCAGGACCCTGGGATCATGACCTGAGCTGAAGGCAGACGCTTAACGACTGAGCCACCCAGGCGCCCAAGCTAAGTTGCTATTAAAGGAAAATTATGACTCAAGTATCTATTATTCATCAACTTAAAGCAAATCTGACTTTGCTTTTTATTAAAATTATGAAATATTTTAACATATAAAAAGAGAACAGAAAAATAACAGATTCCTATATACCCATCACTGAGGAATGTCAACATTTAAAGCAAAAGCAATTAAAAAAAATTTTTTTTTAAATTTGAATATAGATGACACACATTGTATCAGTTTCAGGTGTACAACATAGTGATTCAACTTCTCTATACATAATGCTATGCTCACAAGTGTAGCTACTATCTGTCACCATACAACATTATAATATCATTGACTATATTCCCTATGCCTTTCATCCCCATGACGTATTAATTCCGTAACTGGAAGCCTGTATCTCCTACTTCCCTTCATCCGTTTTGCCTATCCCTCTATTGTCCCCTCTGGCAGCCATCACTTTGTTCTCTGCTTCTGTTTTTTGTTTGTATTTCTATTTTTATTATTTTTCTGAGGAACCTCCATACTGTTTTTCAGTGGCTGTGCCAATTTACATTTTCATCAACAGCATATGATAGTTTTTTTTTCTCTGCATTCTCCATCCTAACATTTCTTTTCGATTTTAGTGATTCTGACAGGTTTAAGGTATTATCTCATTGGTTTGTTTTTTTTTTAAAGATTTTAAGTAATCTCTACACCCAACATAGGGCTCGAACTTATAACCCCAAGATGAAGAGTCGCATACTCTACTGACTGAGCCTGCCAGGCACCCCCTCATTGTGGTTTTGATTTGCATTTCTCTGATGATTAGTGATGGTAAGCATCTTTTCCTGTGTCTGTTGGCCATCTACAGGTCTTCTTAGGAAAAATATCTGTTCAGGTCCTCTATTTTTTAATCAGATTATTTGCAATTTTTGGTGTTGAGTTGTATGTTCTTTACATATTTTGAATATTAACCCCTTATCAGATATATCATTTGCAAATATCTTCTCTCATTTAGTAGGTCACCTTGTTCTTTTGTTGATGGTTTCCTTCGCTGTGCAAGAGCTTTTTACTTTGGTGTAGTCCCAATAATTTATTTTTGCTTTTATTTCCCTTGCTTAAGGAGACACATCTAGAAAAACGTTGCTGATATCAAACAGATTACCGTCTATGTTTTCTTCTAGGAGTTTTATGGTTTCAGGTCTTACATTTAGGTCTTTAATCCATTTTGAGTTTATTTTTGTATATGGTATAAGTAGTTCAGTTTCATTCTTTTACATATAGCTGTCCAGGTTTCCCAACACCATTTATTAAAGAGACTGACTTTTCCCATTGTTTATTCTTGCATCCTTTGTCATAGGTTAATTGACCATATAATCATGGGTTTATTTCTGGGCCTCTATTCTGTTCCATTGATCTGTGTCTATTTTTGTGCCAGTAGCACATACTTGGTATGATTACTACAGCTTTGTAGTATATCTTGAATTCTAGAACTGTGGTATTTCCAGCTTTGTTGTTCTTTCTCAAGATTCCTTTAGCTATTTAGGGATCTTCTGTGGTTCCATACAAACTTTAGGATTATTTGTTCTAGTTCTGTGAAAAATGTTGTTGGTATTTTGATAGGGATTGCATTCAATCTGTAGATTGCTTTGGGTAGTATGAACATCTTAATATTAATCTTTCTAATCTATAAGCATGGAATATCTTTCCATTTGTTTGTGTCATCTTTAATTTCTTTCATCAATGTTCTATAGTTTTCGAAGTATGGGTCTTTCACCTCTGGTTAAGTTTATTCCTAGGTATTTTATTCTTTTTGGTGTAACTGTAAATGGAATTGTTTTTTTTAATTTCTCCTTCTGCTACCTCATTACCAGCATATGGAAATGCTACTGACTTCTGGGTATTAATTTTGTACCCTGCAACTTTACTGAATTCATTTATTACTTCTGATAGGTTTTTTTTGGTGGTGTCTTCAGGGTTTTCTATGTATAGTATCATGTCATCTGCAAATAGACAGTTGAACTTCTTCCTTACCAATATGGATGCCCCATTTCTTTTTCTTTTCTTTTTTTTTTGAAGATTTTATTTATTTATTTGACAGAGAGAGACACAGTGAGAGCAGGAACACAAGCAGGGGGAATGAGAGAGGGAGAGGTAGGTTTCCCGCTGAGCAGGGAGCCCAACGCAGGGCTCGATCCCAGGACCCCGGGATCATGACCTGAGCTGAAGGCAGATGCTTGACTAACTGAGCCACCCAGGCATCCCTAGTATCATACTACTATAAACTTTAAAAATACTTATAGATATATATTTAGTAAAGTGTAAGAATTAATGTAGCCCACATTTATCGAATGGCTGCTTCTTGGGAAACACAGTGGGACGTGGATGTTTATGAGGGGAATGGGACTGGTAAAGGGAACCACATTTGCGTATGTGTGTGCAGTATGAAGGAAATATAACAAACACTCCTATTTGTTCATTGGAGGTGACTAAACACAGATTTTAATATACTGTCCATTATACTTTTCCATATAAATATATTTTCTAAATAAAAATATTTTAAAAACCTTATGAACATTCTTTTCTAAATGCTAAATTGGTGACCAAAGTTACCAATTTTTAAATACCTTGCTTTGAAAAATGATACGCATGGTTTTGGGGCACCTGGGTGGCTCAGTCGTTAAGCGTCTGCCTTCGGCTCAGGTCATGATCCCAGAGTGCTGGGATCAAGCCCCACATTGGGCTCCCTGCTTGGCGGGAAGCCTGCTTCTCCCTCTCCCACTCCCCCTGCTTGTGTTCCCTCTCTCGCTGTGTCTCTCTCTGTCAAATAAATAAAATCTTTAAAAACAAAAAAAAAGAAAAATGATAAGCATGGTTTTTTGTTTAGTACTGGTTTACAGTCATAAAAGAAAACTTCTAATAGCTAGCTACTATCATATTACTGTATTATAATCCTCTCATTTAGTCTACCTTACTTTTACTTTCTAATCTCAGGCTTACTTGTCTTCTATATTTCTCTTTTCAAACCTGAAATGCATTCAGTTTTATTCCTATAATCTCCACTTCTCTTTCTCCTTCTAAAATATATATAGTCTTAGAACGTGTACTTTTTGCTATCTCTAGAAGAAATAATCCTGGCTATTTTATCTTTTTTATCCAATTTCTATTATTAGAGCATTGCTCATCAGCTCTTATAATTATTCTTATTTCAGACCTATCGTATTTTGTCTCTGCATGCCATGTAAAACTATTTATAAAAGAAATTTCTTTCTCCAAAAAAGATACAGAAAGCCAATAAGCACATGAAAAGATGCTTAATATCATTAGCCATCAGGGAAATACAAATCAGAACCACAATGAGACACCACTTCACACACACTAGAACGGCTGTAATAAAAAAGATCGTAAACATGCTGGTGAGGGGATGGAGAAACTAAAACCCTTATACAGTACTGCTAAGAAAGTAAAATGCTACAGCTGTTTTGGAATACATTCTGGCTGTTCCTCAAAAGATTACTATAGACATATACTAAACAAAAATGAAAACATATGTCCACACAAAAACTTGTACATGAATGTTCATAGCAGCATTATTCACAATAGCCAAAAAGTGGAACCACCACTCAGGATGGATAAATAAAATGGAGTATATACAAACAATAGGGTATCATTTGACCATAAAAAGGCATGAAGGACTGAATCACACTATAACATGGATGAACACTGGAAACATGCTAAGTAAAAGAAGCCAGTCACAAAAGACCACACATTCCACAATTCCATTTACATGGAATGCTGGAATAGGCAAATCTATAGAGATAAAAGGAAGTAACTTGTTGCCTAGGGCTGGGAAGATTGGGGAGAAATGGTAAGTGACTTCTAATGCATATAGGATTTCTTTTTTGGAGTGCTGAAAAAGTTCTTTTATTTTTTTTTTAAGATTTTATTTATTTATTTGACAGAGAGAGACACAGTGAGAGAGAGAACACAAGCAGGGGGAGTGGGAGAGGGAGAAGCAGGCTTCCTGCAGAGCAGGGAGCCCGATGCGGGGCTCGATCCCAGGACCCTGGGATCATGACCTGAGCCGAAGGCAGACACTTAACGACTGAGCCACCCAGGC